TGTGTCGATGACGAATGGCCACTCTTGAGATCTATTCTTGAGGATGCGGAGGGGCCCCTGAAGACCTCGTGCGTGTTCAGATTCCCATCGACCAACTTCAGCTGGCCGAGGTCATCAGATTTAGTTTCCGAGGCGATGGTCGTGGCTCTCCCATGCAGCGACACCGTGACAATGGGTAGGGGTACTTCCCCTCGACGCGGCCGCACGTTAGTCGCCTTCTCATGCAATGTGCAGGTCTGGCGACAATCTCTCGCTCGTACTGGGCATGTTGCCACAATGGGAGGCGTCACAGTGTGTCTAGCCAAACATTAAGTTGGTGGATATGGACTCATTGTTCCTCCCAAATCACTGGACTGGAGCGAAGCAAAGTGCCGCAGAAGAGTCGACCTAATTCCGTATCCAAGTCATATACGAGGACAGTGAAGCACATCGTGGCTAGCATCTCAACGGCCATTGAGAGTTTCACGTGGTTCACCCTCCAATAGGGCACTATTGCAGATTAGTTTGCTATCAGCGAGCTCGACGCCACAGGGATGAGAGAGGTTGAGGCACAACAAGTCCATTCTGAGAGCCAGGGTGCAGGCCGGGTCAAACAATGTGGTTGAGTAGCACATGTAAATTGAGCAGTAGGAATATGGAAATGCCGAGGGGTAACATCGGGCGTAGCCTTGTTCGTATTGGGATTTACCTTTCCCCATGTCAAGTGGGCGGCTGGAAATGGTACCTTTCTGCAGCGAGAACGGTAAAAGCGGTTAGGGGAGAAGGATTGGGAGAATTTTTTCACACGATCTCAGAGACCAAAGTTAATCTCGGTGGCGCAACATGATGTGACGAGAGCAAGCACTTGGATAAGATCAATCAGGCTTTACCAGCCCACAAGAACATGTGGTCTGGGTAAGATGTTGGAAAGAAACGATCGTGTGACGTCGGCCGAAACGGGAAACCGGCAAACACGAGGAGCTCTTTCTGTTAGCCCTGTCCGCCAGTTGTGCCGGGCGCTCCTGCCAGCCTTTGCATTAGCCTCCATGCAGTATCACATCCGTGGCGACCAACTGCGATCGCCAGGCGGGAAGGAACCAAGATGGCAGTGGAGGGGCAGGCGCACCCCAAACAGCCGCTAAGAGTGCCAGCTGCTTTTTTTGCGAAAAATCTCGTCCCTTTAATTACTACCAAAACAACCTCCTTGAGATCCTATCGCCTCGTCAATTCCCGGCTGCTCCCAGGCCATCTCACCTCCTACCTTACCTTAAAGGAAACTTGGTCGATTAAAATGGGAAAGGGCGGCGAATATTCCTTCGCTGGCCCTGCCGGCGATAATAATCCGGGGCGACATCCAGGTTCCTGCCAGCCCGGCTACCCCATATTTCTCCAGGATCGCAAGACCAAGTAATATGGAGGAGGATCCTCTCCACAGTCTCGGCACGGATGCTGTGCGGGGAGAGGAGACTTGGCGATTTTTCCCCCTTCATTTCCCACTTTTCCAAAGTGGAATATGGTGAATTGACTTTCATGTGCTCAGAGCCGCTCATATCCATCATCACAAGAAACCGAGGTGCAGGGGCAAGCCAGCCGTTATTGCATCCTGGTCGGCTTGTTGGTTCTCCACAGCCACCTAGCTGTAAGGCATGTAATTACAGCGTTCAGGGATCATTGGCCAATGGTGGCATCTTGATCGGCCTTTTGCTCTCAAAGATTAACAAGATGAGACAATACTTCTCACAGACTCAAGCTCAAGGTTGTCTATGCATTGATATTGGGCAACATATAGCTAACTCGAAACATGTCGTGTATCGTCTTGTTATCGGTTCAGTTGACTTCAGTGTATAGTCTCCCGTCAACAATCTGTATCCCTGAAGGCTGTCGAAGGGAGATGTACATCCACTACACCACCTGGCGGGGTACCGATACAGTACCATCCCGGGCCGGGACAAAGGGAGAGCCACGCACAGTTTCGTTGGTCATTAGCTAGGTATTCGAAAGTAACACACCCATCTCATCTCCTACCAGAAGCATAACCTCCGCCACTAGGTTCAGCGTCCGGGGGTCTTCCGCTTCTGGCATCCAACCCCGGCTACAGCACACCCACTACTGACTATCAACACCCAACGATTGGTCTTCTCAGAGATGCCCAATATGTCATATGCACTAATTGGCCGATCTCGAGTCCGGGGTCTAGCAGAGCTGTGGCAACCGCCTAGCGGGTTTCTCGTGCCTGCTCGCTGGCTGAAAGATACCTGGCAACGAATTTTGCTGCTCGTTCTCTCAAGCACTTTTGACCACACCTCCTTCAATCAAACCTTGTCGGTGAGCCAGACATTAGCTTGAACTATTAGATGCCTGAGCAATGGTGTCGAAGCAGGGGGCTATCATCTGATGCGATACCTTCGGACCCCTTGCCTCCTCTCGCCCACATCCCATTGCCCCTCTTCCACTTCTCCGCATTGTTCTTAATAAACGTCGTCGGTGGGAGGAAACGTAGATATATAATTGACTTGGTCTGCCACATGTTGTCCCCTGTTCGTTGACCTCGCCTCTCATCCTGGAGCTCCCCTTCACGTCCACCAACCTCTCATCACTGATCATCCTCATTGCTCATTGTTGTAATATCAAGACAACGCTACCTCCAAGATTGTGATTCTTAAACCGCACAAAGGCTTAATACATCTCAACATGGATGACAAAACTGAGCAGGTGAATGGACGTGAGATCGAGAATGTCAGTCCTACACACAAACCAACCAGGAAGCGCAGATGTCTAGGGCACTGCAAGCGCTTCTGGTGGGTGTATCTCCTTGTGGTCATCGCCGTTGTCGTTCTCGTCGTGTGCCTAGTGTAAGTGAATAAATCATCCATGATGCACCTCCTTGTCGCCAGTTTCTTATAGTTGAATATCGTATAACCCGACCTCTCCCAAACTAACGCTGAAATCCTAGCATCTTTGTCGGTCTCCCCAAAATCGCCCAAAAAAAAATCAATGACGCCAAGCTCGAGATCCAAGGTGTCAACGTCCTCGATACTCAAAGCGAGGCCTATCGCCTGGAGATCAATGCCACAATCACCACAGATGGCAAGATCCATGCCGACATCGACCCCTTTGTCGCACAGATGTACCTGGAGGACGCAGAAGGACAGAGACCTTTTGCCAGTGTCGACTTTCCCAAAACCTCGGCCGAGAAACTATTGGCTGTCAATACAAGCCAGGCACTTACCGTCGCAGACATGGATGCCTTCACGCAGTTCAATGTTTGGTTCGCCTCCAACGAGACTCTGCGCGTCACTATCAAGGGTGACACCAAAACCAAGCCCTCCGGCATAGACCGCAAGTACGGCGTTACGTTCGAGAAGACACTCGACATCAAGGGCCTCAACCACTTCAACGGTCTAGAGGTCCTCGAAGGCAGGGTGGCTCTCCAGAAGGACAGCCAGGGCAACAATTTCTGGGGCAAGGCGAAAGTTCCCAACGCCTCCCATTTCACCCTTGATATTGTAAGTAGATTTCTTTTTGTTGGGCATAGCATCATTCTCCACTATCTCTCCATGACCAGACGCGGGTTTGGGCATCGGTACACCTGTAACAGGAGTGGAAACCCGAATTACGTCCATCTCAATTTCAAGAATTAGGCTAACTTCTCATCCAGGGAAATATTACATTTGCCAACTACATCGGCGATACTCAGTACGGCAACATCACCATGGACAATGTGCTCCTAGCTCCTGGTGACAATATTTATGACATCCAAGGGAGCCTAAACCAGGTTGGCATCCTACAGTTGGTCCAATCTCCAGCGTACTGCGAGACTGGCGTCATCCCCCTCAAAATGCTTGGCCAGTCCGTCACGAATAACGGTCAAAGTCTCAATTACTTTGCTACCGCTCTCGGAAGCGCCAACGTGACTGTCGACGTTAATATTGGCCAAATAATCAAGAGTTCCCTTAACGTGAACGTCTCTTGTTCCAGCTCTTAAGCATGTTAATCATGATTAGGTCGGATGCGGAGCGTACGAAAGAAAGGCAACGTAAATATGATGAGACTTTTGTATATTCCGGTATTGGCAGCCATATATTAGTAAAGTCAGGCTGATGTCGTGGGGTTTTGTTTTTAGTTTATGATACCTCAATAATGGAAGGGTAGTTACGATGTTCTGGCTCCAGAATACATAGAAATCGGGCATATGAAGCTGCAATGAAACAAGAAATTGAAAAGCTTCCTTTTATTTATTATATTGACCAACATTATTAGCGCGCAGTTAGGTAGCAAGGGTGGACACGAGTTTGAGGCCTTCTGACACCACGATAATAACACTAATTAATTATAAGATGAGCACACCTTCTTTCAAGCCATTCAGGCAGCTTTAAAAGCTGAAATTGATATATTTTGGTTCTTTGTCATGAATACCAGCGTGTTTGTGACAGGGGCTCTCTATCCATTCCTCGTTATTCATAATACAATACGGATCTTCTCTTACGAAGATCAAGGGCATGACTATCGATGAGTTCAGCCGATAGGACGGATCGCCATCAATATTAGGCAGACCCTTCCTTCACAGCTCTAAGTAAGTATGAGGTACTTTAAAGTGAGCCTTGATTGAAGAGCCGTTATGAGCAAAGCACTTTCTACGATTATTAATGTAATGCAACAATAAAAAAATACAGTTTTACAATTGGCAATGTATTGACTGTTTATTTATTTGGCTATTCACGCTCAATAATATAAAATTGCCGATCACAGACTCGAGGAGTATGACGCCTGAGCGTATCAATTTCAATGTCGCCCAGTTGCCACCTTTCTTTCAGAAGAGGTGCCCTATAAATCACTTTATCAATCAGTTTAACAAACCCTTCATTGTTCGTCTATTCTTCTCACCTTTAAAGGGGGGGGGAAGCAGGGCATCTTCCATTGCTCAAAAATGCATTCTCATTTCTCATACGACTAAACCGAGTGCTCGACTTGGCTATAGTTTGTGATTTGATCCATGTTTGCTTCCACCCAATTAAGTTCTATTACCATCCACCCTCCCGTTTCTCACTTCTTGAGACGAGCCCAGCTGAAGAGTTTCCGGTCCCCAGCCCAACGGCTGGTACAAAATCTACACCACTCCTAGTGCCGGAACCCTTCTCAGACTCCCTCTCTCGTGCAATTTTATCCTGGCTCTTCTTCAGGCTGTCCCGGTACGCCCACTCGGGGAACCCTTTAGGGTTCCACAAGTCCGCGGGCAGTGTGGTGTCATACTGAGACTGCTCATCAATATCCACAAAGGCCATGAGCTTATCCATCAAGCTTGGGTTTTTAAGCGCCACGGAAGTTTCCAGCTTGGCATTGAAATGAACCCCCTTTTTCTTTAGCTGAATAAACTGTTCAAACTTCTTATTGGTCGTCTCCGTTGGTGATCCTGGCGGTGATGGGGGGATGTCCATGTTAGGGATGGAAGGGAGTGTGAGATCATGCAGCGCTGCCCGGTTCGCTGAATAAGGTGAACCTGGTGCCTCATCGAGTGCATCGTTCTCTGGGCCCGGATATGAGTCTCCCACCTGAGGGAGGCTGGGCCCTAATGGGGTGGCATTCTGGAGAATAGGGCCAATGGTCACCTTGCCCTTATCCTCAGTAGATGGAGCATCATTTTGCGCCTGGGCTTGTTCAGATGGGTCATTCTTAGCTTTCAGGCTTGTCAGTTTCTTCATCGAATATGGTTGGATGATTTGGAGTTCTATGAAACTTACCGCTCCCATCAACGGGTGGCAGCGGTTCCGGCGCTGCGGCGGTCTCTGGAGATGGCTTTTTACCAGCTGGCTACAGGTGGTGTCAATGGCGCAAGGCTTCATGAGTTCAACTGCAAGGGAACATACTTGAATCCGCTGGGGCTGCTCGACTTCCTCGTCCTCGTCGCTACTTGCGTACCCTACAAGACCAGCCATGCTAGCAACCCTTGCCCATCCAATGGTGCGGGCGTGGAATCTAATAAGCAGAACGCGCCCTCAATCAGATGTGTTTGAAACTTAAGCTTTGAAGCAAGCGAGTGAGATCCTTTTTGGACTAGCGCAACTTTGCCATGCAAGTGGGTACCTGGGGCGGCTGCCAGAAACGGTTAAGCCTCCGCTCTGCCTGATCGCCTCGACCAGTTGAATCAATTCTGAGAATGCCAGAAGTTCTGCCTGCACTTCCACAACGCCATTTAACTTCTTGCACCGTCATCAGGCAACAGACGAGGGTTGTGTTTTCTACATACTCGAGATTCTCGCGCCTTACCCGTGCTCACATATTCTTACCGATCGCCTCTGTGATTGGTTTTTCAGTGGCGAGTCGTTTTTTTGGGTCGCATGGCCTCGGCCGATTTTCTGGGAAGGAAACGGAAAAGAGTACTGCTCACCATTGTAGAACTCCTTGCTGAGCCCGCGAGACCTGGGACATATTAAGACAGACCATGGCTCGGCCAAGAGACTCGCGCTCACCAAGTCCTGCAGGCAGCCACCATAGCTCTCGTCGCCACCGCAAGGATGACGACCGACGAGATAGGGACCCCCGCGACGACCGCCGTCGATCACGGTCGCGCAGCCCTGATGTGAGAAGCCGCAACTATAGGAGCCCCCAAGGTCTTTATTCTGACAGCATCCTCATTCAACAGCATCGATATCGTGAACGCGAACGCGACAGAGACAGGGACAGAAACAGAGGTCATGGCGGCCGGGATCGGGAACGAGACCGGCGACGAGATCGGTCATTAGACCGCAGGGACGATGCTTACTACCGTGGCGACAGACGCGACTATCGCGATAGGGACCGTCGCAGATCTCGAGATCGATATGACGATAGAATCCGATCTCCTGACCGACGACGCCAACGCAGCCGCGATGATGACAGAGGCTATCGAAGAAGGGACGATTCCCGAGACAGGGCAAACACGCGCCGTGACGACGGTCCCGATTCCCATAACCGCAGCCGACGAGACAACGGTGCAAGATCACCTGTGAGAGATAGTGCCAAAGCAAGCAACAATGAGGTTCGTCAAGACAATCCATTGGTTAAGCGCATGGCTAATCCTAATTTTTCTCCTCAGAAACCGAAACCCGAGGTGAAGTCCGAGGCTGACAAGAAGGCTGAACGACTGGCCAAGCTTGAAGCATGGAAGAAGAAAAAGGAGAGTGTATCACAAAAGCAAAAAGAGGTTAACCCCCACCAGACTCGAAATTTATTAGCTGAGATGGACAAGAAGGTGACAGGCGACTCGTCTGCACCTGCGTCTGGAGGCGCATCTCCCTTGACCAGGACTGAATCGGGCAATGCATCCCCTTCTGCTAACAGTCCTACTGTTCAATACCCGGGAAAGTTCGACCCCAAGGCGATTGCGAAGAAGTCGGCTGCACGCTCTCTTGATGCATCTCAATCTGTTCTAGGATCTGTCAATGTGCAGACAAAACCACCGGGAGGGCCCCTGAACAAGTCCACCACTGGTAAGCATGACTGCTTTCAGCATCCCCCCAACTACATACATTCTGCTAACACCAATTGCAAAGCTTCTGCACTACCTGCGAATCGCGCCAAGACAAGTGGTTTTGGTTTTGGGAAGTCGCACAACGACGACAAGCTCACCACAAAGCGAAAGCTAGATCTGGACGAAGAAGTGACAACGAAGCGAATATTGACCAAGCTACCCACGCTACCCATTGAGGCCGATGATACGCCGTACGCAGACCAAGATGATGATGATGAGTCCGACGGCGACATTTTTGCAGAGAATGAGGAAGAAGCCGCCGCCGCTGCCCGGGCAGCCCATGAAAGAAGATTGCAAGCCGAGAATCACACCGACAAACCCGAAGCTGATAAAATGGACACCGACGAGGGACCTGACACTTCAGTTAAAGATGCCCCAGATACCAACGGCGATGCCAGTGACACCCTTCCCCTGCAGGAGAATGTTAACCAGCAAATGGACGTTGATGAAGAGGAAGAGGTGGATCCTCTAGACGCTTTCATGGCCGACCTGCAGGAGACGCCTGTCAAGCCAGTCCTCAAATCATCCAAGAATAAGTTACAAGAGCCCGAGGCCTACTTTAGTGAGGACGAGTTTGGTGTTGATCCAGATGAGAGTCGCGATGCCAATGCCTTACTTTCCATAACACAGAAACGAAAGAAGAAAGACATTCCCTCTGTGGATTACACCAAACTCGAGATCGAGCCTATCCGAAAAGATTTTTGGGTTGAGCCTGCGGAGCTTAGTCTGCTATCAGAAGCCGAGGTAGCTGAGTTGCGACTCGAATTGGACGGTATTAAGGTGAACGGGAAGAACGTCCCGAAACCCGTTCAGAAATGGGCGCAATGTGGTTTAACAAGCCAAACATTGGATGTAATCGCCAATTTGGGTTACGAGAAGCCCACTTCAATTCAAATGCAGGCTATTCCGGCGCTGATGTCCGGTCGCGACGTTATTGGCGTTGCAAAGACTGGTTCTGGAAAGACAGTTGCCTTCCTGCTTCCCATGTTCCGGCACATCAAAGACCAGCCGCCTCTCAAAGAAAATGATGGGCCGATTTCTCTTATCATGACACCGACCAGAGAACTAGCGACGCAGATCCACAGAGACTGCAAACCTTTCCTTAAGTCGATGGGCTTGAGGTCTGTGTGTGCGTATGGAGGTGCGCCCATCCGCGATCAAATAGCCGAACTCAAGCGTGGAGCAGAGATCATTGTCTGCACCCCTGGAAGAATGATTGATCTTCTAGCAGCAAATCAAGGCCGTGTCACCAATCTCAGGCGGGTCACATACGTCGTTCTAGATGAAGCTGACCGTATGTTTGACATGGGTTTTGAGCCTCAAGTAATGAAGATTTTTGCCAATATGCGACCCGACAGACAAACCATTTTATTCTCGGCCACTATGCCCCGCATTATTGACTCATTAACTAAAAAGGTACTCAAGAGTCCTGTTGAGATCACTGTGGGCGGTCGTAGCGTCGTTGCCAAAGAAATCGAGCAAATTGTGGAAGTTCGCGAGGAGGCGAGCAAATTTGTGCGTACGCTCGAGCTCCTAGGCGAGTTGTATGATCGAGATGAGGATGCCAGAACCCTGATCTTCGTCGAGCGTCAGGAGAAGGCCGACGATTTACTTAAAGAATTGTTGACCAAGGGCTACCCTTGCATGTCTATTCACGGTGGTAAGGATCAAGTGGACCGTGATTCCACCATCTCGGACTTCAAGAAAGGCGTGGTTCCGATTTTGATTGCCACGTCCGTCGCAGCAAGAGGCCTGGATGTCAAGCAGCTGAAGCTTGTTATCAACTACGACGCCCCGAATCACCTGGAAGATTATGTCCACAGAGCAGGACGAACTGGTCGAGCAGGTAATACAGGTGTTGCTGTCACCTTTGTCACCCCCACCCAGGAGAACTGCGCGCCGGGTATTGCTAAAGCGCTCGAACAGAGTGGACAGCCGGTTCCCGAAGATCTCGCCGAGATGAGGAAATCCCATCGCGAGAAGGTAAAGTTGGGCAAAGCGAAGGATACCTCTGGCTTTGGCGGCAAGGGTCTTGATCGGCTCGACCAGGAGAGAGAAGCAGCACGCCTTCGAGAGCGCAAGACCCACAAGGCCGAAGGCGAAGAGGAAGATGTTAAGGAGGACAAGAAGGACAAGGACAAGGACGACGATAAAAAGGTTGAGAAGGCTCTCGACGCCATCAGGGCTGCTGCCTCGACCATTCACTCCCGCGAGACGTCAAAGACTGAAGGGGGGGATCCAAAAACTGGTCAAGTCTCAGCTGCCCCAACCGCAGAGAAGGGCAAGGATGCTCTGGACAAGGTCAGCTCTGCCGTTAGTGCCATCAACAGCCGTCTCGGCAAGGCGGGTCAGCTTCGGGCTGGCCAACCCATCGATAACAAAGGGCCTGATGCCGGTGCTTTCCATGCCACGCTGGAGATCAACGACTTCCCCCAGAAGGCCAGATGGGCAGTCACCAACCGGACGAACGTCTCCAAAATCCTGGATGCCACTGGGACATCCATCACTACCAAGGGCAATTTCTATCCGCCAGGCAAGGAAGTCCCCTCGGGAGCCGAACCCAAGCTGTACATTCTTATTGAGGGTGATACAGAGGTTGTGGTGAGCTCGGCCCTAACGGAGTTGACAAGATTATTGAGAGAAGGTACGATTGCGGCCGCAGATGCGGACAACAGGGCACCTGGCAGTGGACGTTATACAGTCACATAAGTCTACTTGCTCAGTCTTCCTATGTTTTCCTTCTTCATGCAATGTGCCAGTGTAGTTAAGCACGGCACTTTTTAAAAATTGATGAGCGGCAGGCGTTGGTTGTTATATTATAGAGGGACGGTGTGCGAACACTTGTTCGAGAGCCCTCCTTCTATTCACGGGAACGGTGTAATGAGCAATCAAACCTCGCGTGGAAGAGGTTTTCTTGTATTCTAGATACGGGGGATTCTAGGCGGGAAGTAAAAACCAATAAATGGAACAGGTGTGTCCCAAAGAAAGAAAAAGAATAGGGAACAAATGTCAGCTGATTAAAGGCAAGAAGTGAACATCTCCAAACTCCAAAACCACGCGTGTGAATACCCACAACTTCACCTTGCCCCGGTCTATATGCATCATCTCCTGTGAACCTCATGCTCAATCCCAATTTCTCATTTTCGCGGCCTCATCTGCTTCGCGTGAACGTAACTCCTGGTTGCTACTCTCCTGTAGCGTGTCTGTTCTGGTTTGCTTTTTCTGCGCGTTCAGCTGTGACTGCAGTTTACCACCTGGCTTGTTTGCTGCTTTTGCGCGTGCCTACACATCACACCACACCTGCATTAGCGTAACCGGACGTGTTGATAGCACAGGGGAGAGTTTATTAGTGCTCCCAATATATGAAAAAAGAAAACATGGATGTATGGGCAAGTGAGAGACATGATGATGGAGACTTTCACCTGAGGGGCTTCCTTACCTCTGCAGCCTCGGCAGCCCTCCTACGGGCGTCAGTGTCCGCAGCCCCAGCCGTGGGCTTCGTCGGCTGGCTGTCAGAGCCGCCTCCGAGCGTGCGTGGCGGGCCTCCGACCTTTCGCGGCACGGGGGCCGTCTTCGGGACAGATGGATCGGGTGGGACAGAGCCAACTGTGCGGCCCGGGGAGGAGAAGTTGTCGGACTCGGTCTTCCCGCAGATGTTGCCCATGGTGGAATTGGCGATGTTCTGGGAAGGCGGATAGGAGCGAGATTTCTTCGAGGGGCGGGAAGAGAGAGAGTGCGGGGGTGGAACGGAGGTTGCGCGAGCACTATGGCATGCGTATGCAGAGTTGCAGCAACGCGGGAAGCTACCCACACAGCTGGATTTCCAGATGGGGATTTAGGATAGGAAATGATTGGCCGCTTTGGTGATGGAGAGGTGATCTTCGAAGCTAAACGGGTTGCAGGAGAGGGGATTGCATACGATACGCTGGATGGACAGTGGTTGGTGAATGGATTGGTTCAGGGTAGGTCATGAGGGTTGATCTGGGCTTGGCACGATTGCACTCTGATTGCTTGCTGATTACGTCAAGGAAGCGATGTTGACCTGGAGGTTCTACCGGCTAGTTATATCGATACCGATTTTGCCGTGGGGATTGTGGGCGGATAAAAGCTCTCAGGAGGGACTTTCTTGGCAGAGCAGCAATGTCTTGGTCGTGTAATCGTGGGCTGTAACCTCCTCCCATCGTGGGTAGTACTACTTGCTGGTGATATTTGATAGTGCACTCGGGCCAGTAGGTATCAGTTCGTCAGAGCCCTCATTGGCCTCTTCTGTGCTTGCCATTTTATGGTTCGGCAATTGAAACCGAACACTGGGTTTCTGTTCACTCATTCATATCCATGCAGCGAGCTAATAGGTAAGCAAGTGGGTGACAGGAGAAATGAGACACCTAATGGAAGACTTGGTTATAAATATACTACTTTCTACAGTTGAATAGAGAAACTTAGTAGTTTAGATTAAGAAAAAGTAACAATACACGCTATATTATCTCTGAAATGTATTTTATTAGCTTTTAGGAGTCTAACAATACCAGTCGCAGGCTCGAGAATAAGCAGCTTAATGTTCGAGTGTTTCATTTTTTATGTCGCCCACTTGGTAAGGTACCTAGAAGAACGGTAGGAGAGTTCCATGTTGTCGATGGTGGCTGATGTGTGGCTGGGAAACGCGTGGCTTACACAGGCAGAGATAGGCAGCAGGTTTGGTAATTGTTGCACGTACATAGGCTGACCAGGCAGGATTGGTGCGCCTTTGCTGACTGGGCTGGGCCAGCTACCTGCTACATGTGATGCAGCGCGGTGGGTCTCCTTACAGTTTAGGCCCCACAAAATGAACCGTCCTTGGCGCCCCTCAGTCAATGGCAGGTTGTCCATCAGGGTTCTCACGAGCACCTGCCTCTGCCCCACGACACAGCGGGCGAAATGTACCTTTGCACGTAAAATTGCTGGTAGAGGTACATGCCCCGTCACTCGAGTCCTTGGGTTGTGATGAGAATTGTTGCGCGAAGTTGGGAACTGCTTGGACCCTGCCGGTTGGTCGGGCCATGAGACGAGCTGCAGGCCACTTTGCTCTGCATCTTCATCTTTCCTAGCTCGAGCAGGTTGTTGCGGCCATGACTTTCCTTGCCATGCTCTCGACCTGACCAAGCAAGGGCCACTACTCTGACCTCGAATCCTCACTGCTCACTGCCCATCTTTTCCACCGCCGTCTCCTAGAAGGCGACTAGACTCGGGGCACTGTCATCCTTTTCCTGAGACAGTTCTTTTCCCTCTTGTCAGAATCCCGCCGCCACCACCCCGCCTGCGGACAACTGACCTTGAGAATCATTCTGAGGTCTGATCATTCCAGGCCACCCAAACCATCCTGTTGTGATGGATGACCCGAATATGGCCTTTAACGGTCATTGGGGTCAGGATCCAGAATCTGAAAATGATTTCATGAACATGATGCCAGACTTTGATAACCTTTTAGCCCACGGCCCAGCCATATCCTCGACCCCGACCACTTCGCTCTCCCAAACTCAAGGATCATTATACGGTACTGCCTTCGACAACGGCCCATTCCTGAGCCAAAATCCTCTACAACAATCCTCACCCCAAAATCTAGACCATGATCACTCTTCCAAGATGATAGATCCATCTCTCTCGAGTTCGATGGAGGCTAGAAAGGCGGATGCTCGCGAAGCCTTCGACGAGAACCTCAGCGCATGGGGTTTAGATACACGGGGCCGCACTGTCTCCCGCCCTGCTGTGGGAGACGATGCCGCCTCCTGCAGTTCTTCTTGTGTAGGCAGCTGTCCGAGCCACTGTGGTGTGGACGGACAGGGCCAAGTGTGTGTTGACGATGACTGTGTTGCGCAAGAGCACCCTGGTATATGCTGCGCCGATGACGACTGTGGTGTGGATAGCCTTTGTGTCGACGAAGCTTGCGAAGCCGCACATGATCCTTGCACAGATGTTAAGTGTATTAGCGATGTATCACTTCCCATGGGCACCAGGGCCGAGACCGCCGCAGCCGCAGCGCTCACTTCCTTTGGAGACAACGGTTCGGCGACCCTCCCAGACTTCAGCGGGTGTTGTAGCCATTTGCACCCGCCGTTTGGCAATGAATTCCACTTTGGTCATAGCCATTCAGCGTGCACACACCATGCACCCGAATTACAATTGGATCGCATGGGCCAGCCCTTCAACAGCACTGGGATGCGGATGGATACCGCAGCCGACCCTGCGGCTGACTATAACTTCCAAGAACAGTTCTGGCAAGAGAATCCTGGTTTGGCATTTGCCAGCCACATATTTCACTATCACGATCCGAATCAGAGCCAGGTTGACCATAGCCAGTCTTGCATAGTCGACAACCCCAACCTGGCATTGTCAAGATGTACACTACCTGTAATTACAGGCAATGATGGACTCGACTTTAGCACCTTCTTGAACACAGACTCGGACTATCAATGCGGATTCCCCATCCAAGATCCAGTCATGTACCACAAACACGTCTTGACTCAGCATAGAACGCTGCTATCTCATATCCCCGGGTTCGCGCCATGCATCAACACTGGCAATCTCGTTCCAACACTTGATACTGTTCTTGAAGAGCCCCAGACTTCATTTAACACGCATACATCGGGTCTTTTCTCGTTCAACTTTGCCAACGACTCAATCAAGCCTCGGGCAATATCGACATCCGTTTCCTCTGGAACCAATGCTTCCGTGAGAACATCCCCTATGCCCACACCTGACACAATTGCAACACCACCGCCCCCTGGTGATGTTAATTCTAAGTTGTCTCTTTTTCAGAAGGCTACGGAGGCTTCGGAAGGTGAAGTCGATGGAATGCAAATAGACCAAGACGACGCCTACCAATGCTTTTGGAAAGACCCAGGATCAGGCAAGGTATGCCTGAAGCATTTCAATGACAGCGAGGAGTTGGATGCGCATTGCAGAAGAGACCACGTCAAGACTATGCAAAGGGTCGATGGCGGATACCCATGCATGTGGCAGCACTGCAAACGCGAACACGGAAGTTTCAGTCAGCGCGGCAAGCTGAATCGACACCTACAAGTCCACACAGGCTGTAAGTAACCGCCAAGTGAGATAACCACGAGATGGGATGTACTAAAACATCTATAGTGAAACCTACCGAATGTCCCGTGTGCGGTGTGAAGTTGTCTGCAAAGCAAGCTCTGGACCAACACATGCGGCTTCACACCAACGAGTGCCCTTATGTTTGCGATTGGCCAGACTGCAATCGAGTATTCAAACAGCGCAGCGCTTTGAGTATGGATCCCTTGTCCTTATACTGGCTATTTGCCATGTCCCGACCTCCATTCCTGGTAAATGAATAGGTGACTAATTGAACTGCAGCCATGCATTACCGAACCCATACAGGAGAAAAGCCGTTGAAGTGCGACGTTTGCGGTGCCATGTTTAGAGAATCATCTAACCTAACAAAGCACCGTCGGATACACAATGACAAAGGCATGTATGAATGTGACATCTGCAAAAGAGACTTCAATCGCCTGGATCAACTGAGACGGCATTTGAATTCAAACCACAAAGACATGCCAGAGGCTGTGAGTGAGGCATTGAAGAATGCCAAGCCGGTTTCTAAGCAGGCCAACGTGGGGAGGCGCCATGCTCGTCATGCTCGACACCGGACCGGGAGCAGTTCTGCTCCGTCACCCACTGGTGTCCCCTCTACTAGCCCCGAGCCTTTGGTTCAGGGCAGCGAGCAACATGGCTTTCTCGACGAAATGGCAACGAGTGATACTCTTTGATCACCATATCTTGTGAGATTCAAGACATGGCGGCAGGTACGAAGATACGAATTTTTGATGATTTATAATCGATATTTTTCTTTTCGCCTCTACGTCTGGATTTGGTTGTACAAGCACCAAAGCATAGAAATGAGTTGGCAACACAAATAACAGTAATGGTTTCCCATATGGGTTGGGGTAGGATATAGGGGTGGAAATGTTGTGTCTACACATTTTGGCGGCTGGTTTGCATTTCGAGGGAGGATTACCTGCATTCGTCACAACTTTTCAGACAAACACGATGGGCGTCTTGGTTGGTTTCGTACATAGGAATCGGAAGGTGGCGTTGAGGGGGACCGGACATGGTTTCAGGTGGATGGCATACCTGCATAACCACAGAAAATACCCAAAGGTCTGACAGTTTAAACAAAGGAAGGAAACGAGTAGAAAAGTTTCATGTTTGGAAGAGAATACGAAATTCATTGAACGAAGATATGGGGTCACAAAAATATTCGCAAATGAACGGGTAGTGTATTGGCCCACCGAATGTCCTCACATGAACTCCATACGCGTTAGATATTTTAAGCCTTGCATTGATCCAAGACATTACTTATGATCTTGATCGTGACCTCATTTGTATTTTATGGGCAGGCAAGAATAGCACGCCGACTACCTTAGACAAGCCCGTCCCCGAGCGAGGCCCTAAACGGGAAATAAGTACAAGTCAGACCGAGATTCCCATGAGCCATGCGATGCAGATTTCGAAGTCTTTCTTTTTTTTGTTGTTCAGAGAAAAAGCACGCCACGCCTCCAAACCCCGATTCCCCCTCTACCCAGATCCTACTCCAAGCACTGCGGATGATATTTAAGCAGCCTAGAATATATAATGTTAGATGATTTTGTGGTTGCGCCCAGTGGGAGATAGGGAGAAAAAGCCGTGCCGTACCTTGACAGCGAACTTGCGCTGAGGGAAGTGAGTGTTGCGCTTCTTGGCCTTCTGCAGGACGCGGGCCTTGTCCTCGGGTGATAATCTGCGGCGGATGGCGCGCGTCTGCTTGGGGCGGAGGTCCAGGGGGGCGTACTTCTTGTTCTTGTAGAACAGACGCAGCTGGGCCCTTTGCTTGGCGTTGATGACGGTGAGGACGCGGGCAATCGACTTTCGGAGGTCGTGGCTGTGGAGAGGAAGGCAATTGTTAGTTATCAACCATAAACCACAGGGAAGAAAAAAAAAAGTTGGATTCGGCTGGGCGTTACTCACATCTTGTTCAGCTTGGAGCCGGAAGAGGCGACCTTCTGGATGCGGAGCTGGCCGAGCTCGGTCTTGAGCTCTCCGAGCTGCTTTGTCAAATCATCCTTGCTCTTGTCCCAGAGCTGGACTGCCTTAACCTTGCCCGACGACTAATTGACACCATGTCAGCAATTCGTCCCTTTCCACGAATATTGTACGGCAGCAAAAGAGAAACAGATGATCGGTGGCGGCGGGTGGGATCGCAGCGTGGTACGCAGCCAGCGGGCGAGTGCTTCGTGTGCAAGATGCTCGATGTCGAATTTTCGAGGGGGGTAAAAGTACGGTGATGTGAACTTTCGTCCCGCTGGCCACCGTTCACGGGCCCGAATGATTCTCTGCTCGAGGTGATGAAGATTGGGGGCTGCATTTGTCACTCACCATTTTGATATTCCTTCGATGGGAGTTGCGAAGTGTGTCGACGTAGGTAATATGATGTTGATCGGGACCGTCTGGATATCGCGATGGGGCTGCGTCAAGGAATTTGGGAGAGGTTTGCCAGAAGAGTGTAAAAGTTGCCCTAGGGCTTGGTTGTGTGCGATGTGCGAATGGGTCCACGCAGGGTCTATTGCCGGTTCTGATTGGACATTTGGGTACTAATTTTTGCAATTCCGGTGTGCTGGTCACGTGCGACAGGATCCACGCCGAAAGTGTGTCGTTGTTTGGGCGGTGTATAATTCTGCCAATTTGCCGGACTTGTACTGTGGCTGAGAGGCGGCGGCCTTGCTATGGCTGTGCAATGCTGTGGCGCGTCAACGGGAACTGCCGGCACTTGATGATGATGACAACAGGCAATACTCACGAGCTTCATCCCTCCATCAACGAATCCTATCCACATTTCGACCACCATGTCTGTACCAACGGGCGCTGCAGGCTATAATCAGCTACGGCAACTGGCGCGGAACCTGGAGACACATGTGAGCAACCGATGCAACTGACGGGAGATGCGACCACTTTACTGACGTCGTTTACCTTCCAGACCCAGACGGCCTTCCACACTTATTCGCAGTTCGCCGCCGGGGCCGACATCCCGCTTAAGCCTTCAGATGATGAGCGCGCAACAGAGATACAGATCCAGGAGCTTCTGGAGAAGGTACATGCCAGAGACCTGATAGATGGGCAATCGCAGGCCCGGCTAACTGTTGGAATAGCGAGCTACCGTAATCTCACAACTCACCCGGCTGCTCGACTCGGACCAGGCCCTCTCATCCTCCGCACTTAAGCAGCAGAACGTCACCTTACTCCGCGACAAGCTATCCGATCACAAGCGGGACCTCCTCCGCCTGCGCACGAAGCTGGAGGACGCCCGCAACCGCTCCAACCTCCTCTCCAGCGTCCGGTCCGACATCGATGCGTACCGCGCGAGCAACCCGGAGGCCGCCGAGGCGGACTACATGGCAGACGAGGGCAGGCGCATCGACAACAGCCACGGCGTTGTGGACGGGGTCCTGAGCCAGGCGTACGCCATCAACGACAGCTTCCTCTCGCAGCGGGAGACTATCGCGAGCATCAACCGGCGGATCAACCTGGCCGCGGCCAAGGTGCCTGGGATCAACACGCTGATCGGCAGGATATCTGCGAAGAAGAGGCGGGATGGAATCATCATGGGCTGTTTCATCGCGTTCTGCTTCATTCTATTCTGGTTCCTATCGTAGGGGTTCTGGGGCTGTGGGGAGACTTGTTTTCTACTTTTCGTCTATTGGGTTTCTTGCAAGCATCTGGTATGGGCGTTATTAAGGGGGGTATCAGCGTCTAATTAATATTGTACAGCATGGGAGCAACCTCGCGGGTATTCCCCCAATGTATATATGTTCGTTCTGCAGTAGCGCGATTGTTACAACAAAAATTGGGAATAGTGTACAAGAAGAGCCAAAATATACCCTTAGTTCTATCCAACACGCTTGTTGCCCGGGTGCTGCTCCCGCGCACTCGCAGGCAGCGCTGCCTCCTTCCTGATCTCGTCGGCCAGGCGAGCGAGGCCCTTGTTCAGCCCTTCGAGCTCATTGGGGTGGCTGGTCCCGCTCCCAGCCCAGCGGATGCGGCAGTGCTGGTCGACGAGGTAGGTGTACCCGACCTTGCTGTTGAGCAGGCCGATGGACTCGCGGATCTCGTCGGTGACGCCGCCCTGGACCAGGAAGTACTTGTCCCAGTCCTTCTGGGGGAACTTCTTCCGCAGGGTTCCCATGAACATGCGGACGATCCACGCCTTGGCCTTGTTGTCCTCGTAGTTGATGCTCACCATCTGGGCGAAATTCTCATTCTGGGCCAGCACGGCGTGCAGCTCCGGGTTGGCGGCCTCGGACGTCCACGAGTGTACTTGGTTCTCGGCCCACTGGCTGCTGAAGAAGGACACGACGGAGGCTCTGCCGGAGAGGACGGGGGTGGTGTCCTTCGGCTCCTTGGACGACTTCTCGATCGTCTGGCCGATGAAATTGGGGAAGAAGAGGGAGAGCTCGGCTTTGAAGAGGCGGGGCGGCGCAATGAAGGACTTGCCCTCGTGGAACTTGAGATTGCCCCAATCGCGGAAGTACGGCCTCGATAGCTGTGCAGTCCTGTCGCAAACCATTAGTTTCTGGCATATATTTCCCGAGACTCGCGGGGTACGGTTCTTACAGTTCCTCTCGCCGTACAAGGTGCTTGTCATAATCCACAAAGTCGTCCCGACGTTGGCGGAGGGTCCGGCTGTCAACGCCACTGTTTTCACCAGCATGCGGAGGGTCCTGCATTCCGATGGGCCTGGGCAGCGGTTTTGGAGTGAACTCGCCCTCGATGCGCTTGCCGTAGCCCCGCGGCGCCTCAATTGGGGTTCCCTTGATTTTGCTCTGGGGGTCGAGAGACGCACCGGCGGCGGGCTTCGCATAATGGCGGATGGCGGATGCAGCGAAGGTGCGCCGGTGCTGGCAGAAGAGGCACAGAATCGGACGCTGCTGCATCATGGCACTGGCAGCCAGGGTCGGGCCGAGCCTCCTGGACGAAGACACAACATGGCTCATATTGGGCTTGTCTCAGCTGGACTGGCCGAGACTGGTTCGGGTCAATGCCGTCGCGGGAATGGGTTCGTGGCCGTGCCTGGCTCTCGGCCAAAGATGTTCGCTCGGTGACGTGACGGGCAGCTTTCGAGATTTTGTCGATTGAGCTCGCTGAGGTTAGACTTGTCTGATTGACCGGCAGCCGAAAGGGGACTAGCCCGATCGGTGTGGGGTGTGTCCCTTCTCCGCGTTCAGTGACACTCAGACACAAACCGGCCGATAGACATGGGCAAATTAAAGACGTACCAGGAGAGTTTGCCCTTGCGGCATTGCGTTTGGGGTACTAATAGCGGGCGGCGCCCTGTATGCTAGGCATGCTTGTGCCACACCAACCTTGCTTGTGCCGGCCCATGTCATTGGAAGGACTATGACCGGGCAGAGGCGTTTCGGCTAGCCACGGGGCCTCGTGAACTCTCTCCTCAATGCCGACCAAACCCATCCGCTCGGCTTAAGCACCTGCGACCACTCCTCCTCTTAACTTCATCGTGTCTGCCTGCCTCCCTTCATGCTTTATTAATCTCGGCCAGGACCTCTGTTAGTGGTACGAAACTCTCAATTCCGGCAGCTTTTTTGGGACCTTTACATCAACCACCATCTATATCTCGAATATACCCCGGCAATGTTTCTGCAGCGAGGCTCCCGCGCCTTGCGGAGGCAATGGCAGATTTCCAAATCATTTACCAAGCTTTCGATTGAAGGCAACACGAGACAGAGTTATCCAACAAGATGGTTTTCAGAATCCAGGCGGCTTTGGGCGATAAAGCCAGTGCTCCTCGCTGATATTGGAGAGGGTAAGATGACAATGCCACTCCTCCCGTCCAGTCACTCTTCTTACTAACATGACACGAAATGCAGGCATCGTCGAGTGTGAAGTGATCCAGTGGTTTGTCGAGCCCGGCGCAACTGTGGAGGAGTTCTCTCCGCTCTGCGAGGTGCAGAGCGACAAGGCCTCTGTTGAAATTACAAGTCGCTTCTCCGGCACTGTGAAAAAGCTGTACTATGAGGCCGGTGAGATGGCCCGTGTCGGGAAGCCATTTGTTGACATTGACATCCAAGGAGATGCCAAGTCAGTGGACATTGAAGCCTTGACTAGTCCAGAGGCAGTTGAGAAGGAACCTGTGGCACATCTTCCTCCTGCCCCAACACCGTCATCATCATCAACTCAACAAAGCACAACACCGCCTGAGGCTGCGGTAGGCGAGACGGAGGCGCCGCCACGGCCGCCGAAGGGCAAATGCGCATCTCTGGCTACGCCGGCAGTCAGACACCTGTCCAAGGAGCTGAAGGTGGACATTAATGACATCTACGGCACAGGGAAGGATGGCCGCGTTCTGAAAGAGGATATCTACAAGTTTGTGCAGCAGAGGGACTCGGCCCCTCCATCTGCCACGAAACCTTCGTCCGGCGGCTCATTAGTTTCATATGTCGACACACCGACAGTCCAGACAGAGACCACGGTACCACTGTCAAATACACAACATCAGATGTTCAAGACAATGACCCGGTCTCTGAATATTCCGCACTTCCTCTATGCCGATGAGGTCGACTTCTCATCGCTTGTCGACTTGCGCACACGCCTAAATAAGGTGCTTACCAAGTCACCGGAAAGTGCCGTCGGGGCTCAAGTTGCTAAACTTTCCTACCTACCGTTCATCATCAAGGCCGTCTCGCTGGCACTTTACCAATTCCCCAGTCTCAATGCCCGCGTCGACGTGGATCAGAAGACCAACAAGCCTGCCCTCGTCCACCGATCTCTACATAACATCGGTGTCGCCATGGATACACCCCAGGGTCTCATCGTCCCGGTCATCAAGAACGTCGGTGCCCTCAACATCCTGAGCATCGCCGAGGAGCTGCAGCGTCTTCAGGGCCTGGCGAACCAGGGCAAGCTCTCCCCTCAGGACCTCTCGGGCGGTACCATTACTGTCTCGAACATAGGGAACATTGGAGGCACGTACCTTAGCCCAGTCATTGTTGAGCGTGAGGTTGCCATACTGGGCATCGGGCGCATGCGCACCGTCCCCGCATTCGACGAGGAGGACAACGTCGTCAAGAAGCAAATCTGCAATTTTAGCTGGAGCGCAGATCACAGAGTCATTGACGGAGCCACAATGGCGCGGGCCGCCGATGTGGTGCGGAGAGTGGTGGAGGAGCCGGATGTTATGGTAATGCATCTGAGGTAGGTAGCATTCGGCGACAGGGTCTGCCTTTTAATCAGCCTGTCTGCAAGCATAGATGGGCAGGCTAGCTACAATGTGAAAAGAATACATATACAATGGTCGGTCATCCTGGAGCGTCTCCCTCGCCTCGGAGCGGCAGATGCGCTGCATGTCGCCGGTTTTGGCCACATCAGGCATTCATGTGATGCCTTTTTCCCACCATGTACATTGGACGTGTATCTATCTGACCTTGCTCTTCGGATGCGGTGTGCAATGTTTGCACATTTCGGCCTCGTCGGCCTGCATTCCAGCGTGCACAAATACTAGACAATAAACCCCGCCCCCCACAATGACAACAGCTTTGGGCCGTGAGTCTGCATGTTTGACAAGGGGTCTCGGAGAGGGGACCACGATGGTAGGTCTTGGATACCGTGATGCTATCCGAGATGCCAAGGCCAATATCACCAAGTGTCTCACCCAGCCCAAGTACTCGATGTGTATACCTGCAGACATGTAGAGAACTGGTAGAGCAAGCCAGTTATCCCGTTATTCAAGCAATAAGCATTGAGGGGGGAGGTGCCCTCATTTGCCCTCTTGCATTTGGCCGTCAGGTGCTGGACGACTGCCTGGGAGGCTAAACCGATGACGAGGGAGGGTGGTTGCACAACCCCGTCTCTTTCTCGCAAGGGTGCCAGAAAGTACACATTTCCCCGACTACGATATGCTGTGTAACACCAGTCATAGGACCTTGCATCCCGCCCCTTCCAGCTGTATCTACCTACATGCCGCTCGATAGAAGTGGGATTAGACATACAGACACCCAAGGAAACGATGCGAGGGAAAGGTCCCCCTGCCGTCAGCTTCGGCGTCCCTCCGATAGTTGGTATAATCATTATTGAATTTTCTTGTCATCCTATGTGACCGACACCTAACACAGAGGAATTTCCAAGGAAAAACCCCTTTCAATTAGCGACCGCTGCACACCACCTCCTCCGGCCATGGCCGCCACCTGATTCACCCCCCTCCCTCCTTTGGCCCAGTCCTCCTCTTCGCTCGTTCTCCAGCAGGGAGTCGGAAAGAGACACCCGCTCTCTTTTCTGGGCCGGTATCCGTGGCTTGTACCGCAGTTGGTCTCAGGGTGGCAACAAGATGGTCGAGTCGAGAATCCAAAATATCCTGACCAAACAGGCGAGCCAGTCCATCTAGACAGACAGAATCCGAATCATAAAACTACCCAACTCCAGGCGCATTGCAAAAATCCCATCCGAATCAAAGAACTCCCAAGTGTATCCCTTTAACAAACACCGATGATATCACACCGCCCCCTTGCCTTGCCCGCCGTTTTTGTTGCCGTCTTCTTTCCCAAAATGATACGTAACCCCCAGGTAAATTTTCCCTTTAGTGAGGGGAAGCAGGCCAATGCCAAGACACACACCCCTCAAGAGAAAGGGCGGAAACTGCGCACGG